CCTGCCTCTGCCTCCCGAGTGCTGAGATTAAAGACGTGCGCCACCATGCCTGGCTAATTTTTTGTATTTTTAAAAATGTATTTATTTATTGTATGTGTATATGTGAGGGAGGGTTGGGGGTAAGGGAAGGGGAAGGCATGTGAAAGTCAGAGGAGGCAGTGCTCTCCTCTTCTAGGAATAGAAGTCAGGTCATCAGGCATGGTGCAGGAGGCTTCACATGCTGAGCCATCTCATTGGCCCAGTTCTTACTACTCTAGAAGAAATTAAAAGCCAGGCATGGTGGCTCACACCTATAGTCCCAACACCTGGGAGGCTGAGGTAGTAAGTAGGATTGTTGCGTTCCAAGCCAGCGTGGGCTACAGAGTGAGATCTTGTCAAAAATCATAAGGGTGCTAGGTGTGGTTGTGCACGTCTTTAATCCCAGGACTCAGAAGGCAGAGGCATGTGGCTCTCTGTGAGTTCGAGGCCAGCCTGGTCTACATGGATAGTTCCAGGCCAGCTGTGGCTACAGGAAGACCCTGTCTCAAAAAGACCAAAAAAAAAAAAAAATCATAAGGGCACCTGTGAGATGGCTCAGCAGGTAAAGGCACTTGCTGCCAGATGATGCAAGCCTGCTGACCTGAGTTCAATCCCTGGAGCCCACATGTAAAAGGAAAAAGGCTGGAGAGATGGCTCAGCCATTAAGAGCAGTAGCTGCTCTTGCAGAAGACCCAGGATCTATTCCCAATACCCACATGATAGATCACAACTATCTGTAACTCCAGCTCCAAGGGATCTGATGTCCTCTTCTGGCCTCCGTGGGCACTGCATTCATGTGGTGCATTTACATACATTCAGGCAAAAAACACCCATAACACGTAAAATAAATTTTAAAAAATTTACCTTAAAAAGAGAAAACTGACTCCATAAGTTGTCCTGACTTCCACACTGGTGAGTCAGCATACCCACCTGCCCCTCCCAAGGTAATAAAATTTTAAATATTTTATTTATTATTTATTTTATGTGCATAAGTGTATTGCCAGCATGTATGTAAGTGTACCCCGTGTCATACAATGCCCACAGATGTCAGAAGAGAATGTTGGATTCTCCTAGAACTAGAGTTACAGACGGTTGTTAGCCACCATGTGGGTGCTGGGAATCAAAGCCAGGTCCTCTGCAGGAGCAGCCAGTGCTTGTAACCACTGAGCCACCTCTCTAGGCCCAAAATTAAAAAAAAAAAAATTAAACTCCTAAGAAGGGGAAGAAATTTACCACGTCTCAGATATATGGATTTATCAAACTTTAAGACACTCTAGGAAAAAAAGATTTGAAACAACATTAAATATAACTCATGTCTGTTACCATAATAAAAATCAAAGTTTTGGACCAAAGTAAAAATCTTTGTTTAGAAACCTGCTAGTTTTTCCTCTTCTTTTAGGGTGGGGAAAGGGGTCCTAGGAACCCACCCCACAGCCTTGGCCATGTTAGACAAGTGCTCTATCACTGAGCTACATCCTCAGCCACCCTCTCAGGTTTTCAAATTTGAATATTAGAATACTCAGGGACTGGGGAGATGGCTCAATGGGTAAAAGCACTTGTTACATAGGCTTGGCAACCTGAATTCAATCCCCCGAACACACATAAAGGTAGAAGGAGAGAACCAACTCCACAAAGTTGTCCTCTGACCTCCACACTTCTACCATGGTGTGAATGTGTGCACACACATGCCATACACACACACACACACACACAATAAATTTTAAAAAATACTCTTAAAGAAATCATAATCTATCACAAGATCTATCAGAGATAATATAATCTTCAACTACTTATCTCCTGAAAAACAAATTTCCTAAGAACACACTCTCAGAGAGCCTATATAGCAGTTAGGAGCAATCCCTGGCTCTACTACTCCGTATCTTATATGCCTTGACAGGGTCTCTTTGCTTGCTAAGCCAAAGCTCTTAGAGATATTTAAGAATGACATAGATATTAAGAAGCCTATCAACAGTTGTTTTTCTCTACTACCGTCATGAAGTTCTATTAGATCCACCACCACCCCAACCTGCACCCCTATGCTTGTTTTAAGACAGGGTCTCATTCTATAGCTCAGGATGGCCTTGAATTTGCAGCAATCCTCCACCTTCAGATTCCCAAGTGCTAGGATTATAGGCACAAGCCACCAGTGACACCTGGCTTCTATTTTGCATTTTTTAATACCATGTCATATGTGTCAATGAATGTTTACTGTGGGCTGCAGGTGTAGTTCAGTGGTAGAGTACTTGCCTAGCATGCATGAAGCCCTGGGTGCAATCTCCGGCACTGCTAAAAAGGCAAAGAAACGGCCCAAGCTTAGCCTGTAAGATTCTTCCAGTTCAGACTTGGGAGTGAATGCACTGGGGGAAGAAGCTGGAAAGGCTAGCTCTTCCTCAATGCTCCAGTCTTGCAAAGCTAGGCAAAAGCAATGATTCTGCATGTGATGACCAGAAGAATAAGAAACAGATTTGAATTTAGAAGGATTACAAGAACACCCAGTAAAGAGTTCTGCCTCTGCTTCCTTGCAAAGCAGCTCTCAAGATCTGCCAATGGACCTCATTTTGACATGGAATGCCCCATCCACTCTAATCCACGGCATATCCCTCAAGAGACAGTCAACCAGAACTCTGCCAACTTCTGCTTGGGAGTTGTGTGAAGAACAGTTAACAACAAGAGCTTACTTTGAGAAGGAAATCAACAATCACATGCTAAAAGGAAAGTTATTTGGCTAAAGGATGCATGTTGCCAAAATGTTAGTCACAGCTTCAAGGTCCCAGTTTGTGTCTCTGCAAGGATTCTTTGCCTGACAGAGTCCATTCTCTGGCTCAGGAAACCCAGCTCAGCTTCTGTCACCCTCCCCATCGGAAGCAGTCAAGAATCCTTTCATTTTGGTGGTATCAAGCTGTGACACAGACAAGATATCCACCAGAAATTAGAGACAGACTATGATCTGTCCCTTTCCTCTAAGGACTAATTCAAGCAGAGCAATGGGAAAATGTGACAGGACAGGAACAACTGCAAATGACTGCTAAAGAAACTGGCTATCCCCACAGCCTGCCTAGGAGCTCCAAGCCTCTGCAAGCTACATCAAAATCCTCTTAAAAATAAACCACAAAGGCTGGGTGTGGTGGCCCACACCTTTAATCCCAGCACTCAGGAGGCAGAGGCAGGCGGATCCAGTGTGGTCTACAGAGTGAGTTCCAGGCACCTGGAGCTACAGGGAGACCCTGTCTCAAAAAGACCAAAACAAAACAAAAAAAAACCCAAAAAGGTACACTGTCAGTTAAAACATCAGTACAATATTACAAAGCGTTTGTTTTTTTTTTTTTCAAATCCCCAGATAGGTGCTCAGACTTCATTGCCAGCAGCTCTTCCTTAAATTGGTAAGAAGACTGTGGTTTGCTAGAACAGCCTGGACTAACAACCTGTGAACTTTAAGACTTACTTCAGAGCAACAGGAAAACATACTCAAGTGTGTCAGGGAATCAATCAGAAAGCTGAAAAAGTCAAGAAAGAACATGGGATAATTTTCTCTTTTTCACAAACAGGACTCCTCTTTTCTCAACACCCATCAGTAAAACTTGAAAACTAGACTGGTCTCAACAGCCTCCACCCTCCCCTTTACCTCACCTCCCTACTGATATAACTAATCAGTACCAACTAGTGTAAACACTATTTCTGATATCAAGTTCGATATAGAATTAAAACTGCCCTCTTTAGCAAATCCACGTCAGACCTCAGAAATGCCAAGACTTTCAGAAACACTTCTAGGCTAAACAAGTTCACTTATGGGCAAAGTGTTGAGAGGATCATATCCAAAGAAAAAGCTAAAACAGAATTTCAAAGGATTAACAATAAAGCAGTCTCTGATACATGGCTCCCCATCAACTGACAACAAGGAGGCCACAGAAAGTAACTGAACCAAAGCAGAAAGCTCAACTCTCTGAAACACTATTTTTTTAGCTAATTCTTAAAAGAATTCATGAAGAAAGTCAGTGTCCATCAAGAGTAAAATACTGCTGGGCATGGTCTTTAATCTCAGCACTAAGGAGGTAGAGGCAGGTGGATCTCTCTGAGTTTGAGGCCAGCAAGGTCTACACAGTGAAACTATGCCTCAGAAGGAAAAGGAAGGAGGGAGGGAGGGAGGGAGGGAGGGGAGGGCGGGAGAGACGGAAGGAGAGAGGGAGGGAAGGTGGGAGGAGAAAAAAAAGAATTCCAGGGCTAGGGTATATCTCAGCGGTGGAGCCCTTGCCCAGCAAACAGGAGGACCCGAGTTCAATCCCCAAGGTTGCGGGAAGTGGATTCCAACACACACCAGCTTTCTCCAGCTCCTCACTCCAATGATACCCTTTCAGAATGTTCCTTACTGATCAGTAACAACCACACACAGCCTACGTTTAGATTTCCATCTTCTCTCATTTCACTCGGCTCCAACAGGAACATTCAACTCCAGGTGCTGCCAAGTGCATCTCAAACATCATCTCCAGGACTCCCTCTCACCCCACACTCTCGGCAATCCTTCTAATGTAAGGAGTTTCCCGAGTCACCCTCTCAACCCTTCCTTTTTACCTAAATCAATCCTGAAATGCCACACCAGCCTCTCCATCTCAGAGCATCCTGCTAATAAAGCACCTTTCCCAACAGGTCTTCCCTTCCCATCTCCCTCTAGCGCACGGTTACCTCGTTCCTCGCCCGGAGTTGCCCGTCTTACTCACCTTACCCAGCCCTTCAGGATCTCTTACTTCCTGTCTCTCAAAACCCTCCCTCCAGCCCACCAGGCGCGGTCCGCCTGGGCCGCACACCTCCGCCCTCTCCTTCGCCGGCCCACGCCCCCTCTCCAGAGTCTCGGCTTCCAGGCCCCGGCCCC